TATCGGCAGTTTCACAACCACGGTTTTCCTCTCGCCCCCCCATGTATAAGACGCCTCTCCATTTTAGGTAAATATTTTGAAGAAAAAGTATCATCTTATACACGGAAAAATATAGTAGTTTGCCTGTCAGAAGGTCTCAAAAGGTGAGCACAAGACCCTGGGACTCTGCAATCATCATTCTATTTATTAAAAATCGTGGTAGCGCAGTGGTTAGAATGCAGTACTGCAGGCTAATTCTGCTGACTCTTGACTGCCAGCAGTCTGGCAATTCAAGTCTCACCGCCTCAAGGTTAACTTCGCCTTCCATCCTTCCGAGGTGAGTAAAATGAGGACCCAAATTGTTGGGAGCAAGAAGCTGACTTCGTAAACTCTTTTGAGAGGGTTGGAAAGTACTGTGAAGCGGTATATACGTCTTATTTCTATTGCTATCTGTACCAGTCGCCAAACATCTGTATTTTAATCACATGACCATGGGGATGATGCATTGGTCCTTAAGTGTGAAAACAATCATAAGTCACTTTTTCAGTGCCTTTGTAACTTTGGCCACTAAACAAACTGTTGTAAGTTGAGGATTTCTTGTACCAGCTATATTGATCCCTATTTCCAGAGTAATGTCTAATGAAATTTCTAATGAGGAACACTAAGGAAATTGCAGTTCTTAAATATATGTATGCTATTGCCATATAAACTTGTTGGGACTCGGGAAGCAGAATTTCTGAGCAAGCAGCAGACTTTGGTATCTTTTCTATCGTTCCTTATTTGAATAAATTACTTCTCCAATCTACCTCTTATGGTATCTTTGTTATTATTCTGTTGCTCCGCATCCAGCTATGAAATCTCTTATTGTGTTGCTGTGCATGTATCTTATACTTTTTGATAACTATTACAAAGGTTCAAATTGAAATGAAAGTCTTATAAATATCAGAAGGCATTTGACTCTACTACCATATACTACATGAATATAACTCCAAAGCCAAAGGAAACGTATTTTAATTTTTTCCTAGAATTGTGGTGCATTGGACAACATTCCGTATTGAACAGCACTGAATTGCGGCGAAGACAGAATGGGGGGGCGGAATGTACTTTACTACAGCAGAAGTGGTGGCTTCCATAATTTATCCCAAAAGTCCGTCTTTTCCCATAATGCAGAACTATTAGACAACTTCTCTGGATGAGAATATTTTATACAAGAATAATGTGAATTCTGACATTTATACTTTTTATAAATTTAACACTTCTTTCAAAATAAAACATAGAATGTCAGTCCGCATGAAGAGTAATCGAAGGGTGCATTGGGAAACAAGATTTCTACTTTCCCGCAACAGAATAAGGGAGAAAAAAAACTTCTTAAACTGAGAAATCATAAACTGAGAATAAAGAATCCAATCTGTATGGAATCCCAATTCACAGTAAATGTGATGTTGTAGCAAATCCAGCCAAGTGGCAAATAACATTCTTCTACACAAACACAAACACACTCAAACAAAAAACATGGCTACTGTTTTCGCTCACTGATTTAGAAACATTTTCACATGAAGTTGAAGAAAGTCAAACCTTTTTATTGGCTAACAATCAGCCAAGATACAGGAATTGCATTAATGAAATCTTTGCTGCAAATGATGAAATAAGCTTAGACTTAGATTTATATACAGATTGACAGTGTTCTCTAAGCAGTTTACAGAGTCAGTATATTTACATATATTAATTTTTATATTGATATTATTTTTAATATTGAGACGAGAATGCATTTTCCATATTAGGAAAACAGCTTATGACAAGAAAGCATTTTGTCTTTGGATGTGTGTCAGAACTGAACAAATAAAAACCTACAGTACACATAAATATGTGTGCCTTTAAATGTATGTTCAAGAAGTATAGGAGTTTTGTTCCTAAACTATCAGAAAATAGATATAACCTATATCTTTTGGATATACATTACAGGCCCGGAAGAGTATTGCAACTCACATTAGTGCTTAGGCTTATGCGGATTTCTTTTCCATTCATATAATAAATACTATTTAATATAAAATGCATACTTTTTATAATTCTACAGTACATTATCTTCAGAAGAACACTTAATTTTCTATGGATGGATGGTGTTCTATACTCCTGGATATAATTGGGGTTGTATCCTATCATTTTTCAACTGTACTGCAGTGAAATGTGTTTACCTGCACTGTAAATCTGTGTCAAAATAATTTCTGACAACTACATTTAAACAGCATTTCCTGAAATTAAAATTGAGCATGCCTACATATGTTTAACTTAAGATGGATTGCAGAACCCCATTATTCTAACATATTTTCCTTACTCGTGCCATAAGAAACAGTGAACAAAAACATCACTGAGATATGATCACGCTTAGCTACCAGTCTCCTATATTATACTAAAAAAAAGGGAAGGAAAAGCATGTAATAATGAAATTCTGAGTCAACATTCCTTTGCAATCCATCAACTAATTACCAAGCCATGGCTGCAATCCTTTGCACACATTCCTTGAAGAGTAAATCCCACTGTAAGCAGAATTACTTCAGAGTATGAAAACACATACTTATACTTTCGTGTTATTTTCTATAAAATTCAGTGACATTTTTGCCCATCAATCCAAACCAAGACATATCAATGTAAGTCTTGGCAGCACACAAGTCAATCAACAGTTGAAGAGATCAGCATGAATGGAGTCCCAGATAAATCTAAAAGTATCTGATTAAAAATTGTAGTAAAGTCAATATCTATTGATTCTTGTTAGCGATTCAATGAAAGCACAAGGGATTAAGATTCTCTACTTTTAGTTGCAATTGTTAACAATTGCGAAGGCACAAACAGAATGTCCTGCATTTATTGATATGCCTTGTTGTATATGTAAAATAGTGCAAACCAATGTCCAAATTTCCTGTAGAGTGATTAGATAGAAGAACTGGTATTGGGGCAAGAGCTATTGCGTAATAGTTCTGTACTCCACTGAGAAAAACTGTGGTTGGGATTAGGTGTGCCTGGTTTCCTAAAGTGCGTGTTTCCTCATCCACAAGATGCTAATGGATGTAAATGTCATTCAGGAACGTTTGCTTCCTTTCACTCAAATCATTTTTTTGATGGACATGTGTTAGTTTTTTAAAGTGTAATTGCATGTCAGCTTTAATATCAAATTCTCCAAATCACAATAAACTGTCGATGCAAAGATAAGTATGAACTATAGTCAAGGTAAGTTTCCCTTACATCTCATGCAATAATCTAACTTTATTATCCTATAATTGCATTATTATGACTTAGTTGTTATTGCCACCCGCACCGCCTGCAGTTGTTTAGTAGTTTATAGAACTGGTTTCAAAACACTTTTGAAAAGTGGGAAATGAACTTTACAAACATAATTTTGGCTCATTTCTTAAATGGGTGTAGATAATTCCTGCAAAGTGTTGGTAACATCTATTCTTGTCAATTGTGTTGTCAACCTTACTGGAGATCATCATTTGAAACTGGCTTTTCTACCACGTTTCAGATGCCTGTGCTCATTTTGCTCCTTCTTCTCTGTACAACGTGAACTCCAATTTGGCATGCCGAACTACAAATGCTTTAGAAGTGTAACCCCTTCACAAAGATCCACTTGCTTCAGTGTCACTATGCTGGGGATGGTAAGCATTGAACTGAGCAGTCAGGCGCACAGGAGGTAGATTTTAATCCATGACAGTACTAGGTCATAGGCAGTAGCCCTTCAGAAGGAGTCCTTCTAATTGAAGTTAATGAGAGTGGAAAAAGGTTTGAGGTTTCGATGAAACAAGGTCATTCCAAAGAGGCACATGAAATGTGGCTTATTTATTTTTTTAAGTTGCACTTAATCAGTGAATCAATGGAAAAGAAGCAACTGAAATACATCCATGCCCATCCTTAAAACCCATCCTTCATTTAATTATGCTGCACTTATACAATCTATAACCCATGATTTTCCAGATTTAAACGAATTTGAACTGGTGTGCATTAAAAACCATGTACAGAGAGCCACCACAACAATGAATTTAAAAAAAAGAGATTAAATCTGACCTGACATTCTATACACTAGATTGAATTTTCCTTTTACCCCTCATGTATAAACCAAGTTAAATTAATGCCTGAATTTATGTGTTGTGGAAAAATCACCTCACGTAAGAACTCTTTAAGTGCTATGTTTTAACTTTCATGCAACTCAAGATAGGAGCTATCTTCAAGCCAAAAGTGTATTTATCTGTGTCAAATATTTTTCTTTGGCAGTTAAAATCAAAACGAATGTGAATGAACGAACAAGAATTTTGTTCTGTTCAAAGAAAGGTAGCTTTTATAAAAGTGTTGCTGGTTTGAATTATTCAATTTCAAGCTAAGCTACATTTCTTCGGATTAGGGGGCTTACTGATAACTTTACACAAATAAACCCCCTTCTTTTTAACAGTTTTACATTTAATTTTAATTATTCTGAATGTACAATGTTTGATGTGTTTGTCCTTCCCGACAAAACAAGCTACGGTTTTGGTTAGCTTAATATTAATATCAAGCATTTTGAATAGAACATTGATCCTGCTGACATTTTACCACACTTATCAATATCTTATTTACTTCCAAGTATCCATTACCTCATAAATATTTATTTTAGTAAAAAGAGGATTTCCCAGGCCAACTTACTTTGACACTTGTCATCATCTGCAACAAATCCTCCCACTTTTTTTTTTAGAAAATCAAGCAGACCATGCTTCATACACAGTTGGATAACTCTTGACAAAGGACCCAATTAAATTCTACTTAATTCACACACTCTGTGAAAATCCCTCCATGTTGGTATGTGGAAGACTCTTGATCATATGATATATGTAACTTTCTCAGAACCTGGGTAGAAAATAGATTTATCAGTCTTTCCCAATTCTGATTAGTAGCAAATCCAGTTTTTGCCTTAAAAATACTTATCATGGATAAGCAAAGGGAAACAGATATAGTCATGGAAATGGCAAAGAAAGAAAGAAGCAGATCACAGCATCAGCCACAATCAATCTAGTTTAATGTTTATATGTAGAAGTTACACATAACAGACACTAAACAGGAATTTCAGATGTTAACAGAGCTGCAATAAAATTAATGCTGCTATATATTAAAAAAATAATCTTAATACAGTCATCTGGTTGTGATTTTTTTTGGTCTACATAAGTTCTTTGAAATTGATTTATACCAGTAATTAAAACTGATTTTTTTTTCCCTATTACCCATCCTACTCTCCACGTTTCTAGTCTTTGGATGAAAGAAACAGCAACTTTACAATTGTTGACAGCATGTGCCCTTTTGGTCAGAAGCAGAAAACTTTTCAAAACTCTCTCTCCAAGTAAAATGCCACAGGGCTTAAAATGATGGGGTAACATCACCCCACTTGGTATTAAAAATGTCTGTGACAACAAAAGGTTAAATAAATGCTGAATATACCTCAGCACCATATCCAGACTGAAAAAAAAGCCAAGCTGTCTTGGGTAAAAAGAACCCATTCCTAAATATTGATAACTTCTCCTCGTACACTGCCATATCAACCTCAGTGCCAAACAGACAAAATGCAAGTTTCAAAACTGTATGATACAAACACCTCTTAATTGGATTGAAGAAAAGCACATCTGTATGGTTTCAGAACACATTTTATTTGTGGTTAGACAGCTCATGCATTCATGCAGGACCAAGCTACCTACACCTATAGATTCAGAGTCTACAGGGGACGGAGGGGGGAGGGGGGGATTGGGGGCAACATCCAATATATTGTCTTTGTCAGCAGTTCTGCACTTGAGCCAGAAATATTGTTTTCCTAAAGAAACGTTCTCACATATTTTTTAAAAAAACATACACATCTTGATAATATTTACAAAAAATATTTAATTAAAAATATTTCATAATTACAGTCGGTCTATTAAAGCATAAACTTTTCTCACTTACACTTATAGAAGCTCTCTCTATATACATAGTATGAAATGTCACTCATTTTAATCTATACAATATGTAACATTCCTGCAGGGAGAAGAAAATCCCCAAGGAAACAATAAAACCATCTATTTTAAACAATAGATGCCGAAACAAAAGTTATCTACAACGCCTCCGGTAGATTAGTAAAGCTTCAGATTTTAACTGCTCGACGCATTAAAATTATATTTCTAAACTCCAGTTTTTGCCCTTGATCTTCAATCCAACAGAAAACCACACAATACTGAAGATTTAAAAGCCCCCTCCCTCCTAGACATGTACACAATTCACATCTGATCTAAAAAAAAAGTTTTAAGAGTCATGTGAAAAATGCTATGAACTACAAAGTTGTGATTCCCCCCACCCTCTTTCTCTCACTCTAAAGGAAGTATGGAAAGAATTCTGGAGTAGTTGAGGTTTCTTTTTTCTTTAGCCCAGTGGCTGATTTTTTTTGTTTTGTTTTGTTTTGTTTTTCATCTCTCTTGTTTTCCCCTTCCCTCCTCTAATGTGTCTTTCTGCTTCTGTGGCTCAGGATCTGCTTGCTGCACACCTGTGGAAGAGGAATGAATAGAGGAGGGGGTGTGAACCAATCTGCTCCAGACTGACTGGCGCCACCAACAAAACAGAAGACATGCTTGATCAACAACCCAAAACAAACCAGGTCAAACAACAAGGGCAGCTCCCAGGCTCGGCCAAGCAGAGGAATACACAGCTGCAAGTCCCAGCGAGAAGAAGCTTGCCGGAGAGTAGAAGAGAGGGAAGGAGTTAGAGAAAAGGGCCCTCTCCAAGTCACTCCTCCATTTCTGTTTGCACAGATGAAGAAGCACACGGGGCGACAGGAACCCCTGATGCGTATTTTACTTGGAAATTAAGTTGTATAGAGTTAAATAGGATTTGCATCCAAGACCTGTGGGGGGGGGGGGTGGCAATCGATGTGCCAAAGCAAAATACACATGAGACATTCAACAGCCACCGATAAAGGAGAATATTTGCAGATCAGGGGGTTGGAGTGAGAGAGATCTTTGGTGCTCTGAGCTTGGTGGTTTTCTTGCAGATGTTTTGTTACCTAGTTCGGGTAGTGCAAGAAAATCGCCAAGCTCAGAGAACGTCAAGGACCCCTCACTCAAAAGCATTTCCATAATGTATTATTCATGGCTTTTGCAGAAAAGAAAGGAAGGGAATTCCTAAGCTTTCTCAGTCAAAAGACTTTGCAGTTAAGACCAAAAGCAGTTTTCTTTTTCTAAGCATGTAAAAAGCAGTTTCTTTTTCTTATGTTCTTACGGTTTCTTTTTCTTATGTTTTGTCCATTGTATATGCTTAGAACACACCTAGTCCAAGTCTGGACTAATTAACACGCGCTACCTCTTTAATACACAGCCTTTTAGAACAAATGTACAATATGTTGAACAAATGCAGGCCGACCCTACCTACCCTAAAATATGCGTCTAGAATTAAAAAGAAAAGATAAGGGAAGAAGCTTGTCTCCTGCTCTGACTATATAAAACTATAATAACTTTTAACTCAACCAAAGGATTATGTTGTTAAAACCTAAGTACCCAAGTTGAACTAGTTGGTGGACTGGAATCCCATGCCCTAGTTTGAAACAGGGTATTTTATTGCGCTGCTGCTTTGAGGTTCTTATAAACATGTCTAAGTCTGGTGTGTGCCTTGCCGCTAAGTGAGAAGAACTGAAACCTAACCCTTCTTATATTTGCACACGGGCACGTTCCACAGATTTCAGGGCACCTTGCTTCCAGGTGAGTGTGTCTAAGGGCTCCTGCCTTTGATTAAACTACAAAGTCACTACTCGGGAGTGATAAATGCTCTCAGCCCCTCCACCGTGCCATGTCTTAAAAGACATACTCACCTTGGAAGTGCAGTTCAGCGGCACAAAATACTATCTCCTTGCTTATTAACAGCACCCGCCTGCACAAGAACAAAACAAGAGTTGAACATTACAGCAAATGCAAATACCAAGTTTAATCATAAACAGCCCTCTTTCCCCGGCAGGCTGGTTGCGAAGACAATTTCACACAGAGGCGGAGGGGGCTGGAAGAATTTGTCAGCCTCAGAGGGCTGTAGTTTCCCCACACCCAGGCCAGCAATTAGGGTCAGACTAAAAGCTGACAAGGATGACAACCTTTTGCTTGATAGAGGAATAGCCAACTGCAACTGAGGGCTTATGTATTTTTTTCCCAGTGCAACACAACCAAGCAAAAAGAACCCTTCCTTGCATAACTCATTGGTTTGCAAGATTGGAATCTTAATCTCTGGCATATGACTTCTTTTTTTCTGGAAGCATATTTTTGATGTCTGGCAATAAATGGATTATGACGGTGGTGTTCTTTCGGCCCTTTACTAAACATTTATTTATTTGGTGCATGCTCCTATTCTTTCCAACAGTCCTTCTACTTCTAAGCACATTGACTCCAATCCTGCAAATCACAAATGCCATAACTAGCACATGCTGATGAGATGAGTACAGTATCTCCGTTTGCTTCCAGGGCTATATTCAGTCAAGAGGGCAGGTGTTGATATGAACTGTACTACAACTAAGTAAAGGAAAAGAGTATTTGTGTGGCTAGTTAGATCAGGAAAACTCTAAAAGAAGTGACACCCATTAGAATCAAGCAGAAAGTTGCCTCTATAGATGACTTACATATTTGATTCCATACATATAAATAAATTGTGCTCTATGTACGCACGCCAAAGCTATATTATTGAATGTTATCTATAATTCCTAAATGACAATGACTGGCAATACCTAGTGTGGGAATGCATGCAATTCAATAAGCATGTGCAATTGCATCTTATTTGTTGTTAAGAGCTGGCAAGCGCGCACACACACACACACCTCTACTCACCCCCCCACTCCGCCATCCATTCTGCTATGCAATTTAAAGGCAATATCAATATACCGGCTTGCAATTCACAGCCTAATTAACCCATATTTTCCTCTAACAAGACTTTCTGTCTTGTTAAAGGACCGGCATTTGCTTTGGCTAAAGCCGGTAGGTATTTCAAACCAAGCAGAGATGGCTCCCGTCCCACCAACTTTTGCACACCATAGGGGCGTGCATAAGTGCACCATCATGCCTCCCCGTCCCTGTCCTATTGTCGCCATTTAATCTATTTTCTGTATTCTTAGTCATGTTTAGACTTATACCTATTGTTTTGTCAGCGACTGACCAATCAATCAATCAATCAAATAAAAAAATAAAATAAATAAAATAAATAAACCTCGCAAATCTGGCGAGGTGCGATCGGTTCAGATTTGGAAGCTGGACCGGGAGGAGGATCCAGGTTCAAAGCCCTGGGAAATAGGGACCTCTCTCCTTGGGAGGTCCTGGGAGAAACAGGCGAGATAGAGAGATAGATAGACAGACAGACAGACAGACAGAGAGAGAGAGAGAGAGAAACGCAATGAATTCCAAGAGACGGATATCAAAATAAGGTAAGGCAAGGCGAAGAGAGAGAGAGAGAGAGAGAGGCGTGACGGGGCAGGGAGCCAGCTGTTAGGAACACCCCCCTCCTCTTTCCCGGGCTTGTGGATCGCGCGTGGGAATCGTCCTTAGGATGGAGTGAAGGCTAAGATCGCGGCAGGTTGGTGGGGCTGTTTTGTCTGTGTGTGTGTGTGTGTGTATGTGTTTTGCCCCGGTGGGCGCAGAGCTGGGACAGCAACTAAGAAGCGGGGCTGGTCCGCTGCTTCTCGGGGTGGGGTGGGGTGGGGGGGAGGCGTCCGCGAGGAAAGACCCCCCCCCCGTCCCAAGCTCTCTTCCCGCTTCCCTTCCCCGCCGAGGGCTGCGCTCAGCGGCGCCGGGCATCTCTTACCGGGTCGGCGTTGAGGGTTGTGAGCGGGGTCCGGGGAGTCCCCCCCGGGTAACTTGCCGGGTGCAACGGGGGCGGGGGCGGCGGGGGCGGCGACGGCCGGAGCAAAGCCGGGTGGGTCTCCAAGGCCAGCTGCAGATCCAGGATGTAGTCGATCACATGCTGCAGGATCTCCACTTTGCTGACCCGCTTGTTGGGCGGAATGGTGGGCACCAGCTTCCGAAGGCGGCTGTAACAGTCATTCATGTCGCACTGAAGGCACAGAGAGGAGGCGGCGGCGGCGGAGGGGGGCTCCTCCTCGCCCAGCGCGGGGCTCCCCTTGTAGCAGCCGTGCTCGGCCAGGCAGCGCAGAGCCAGCTCGCCGCCGCCACCGCCGCCACCTCCTCCGTCGCCGCAACAGCAGCCGCTCGTCGGGGCTTTCCTGCTGGGGTGTCGGACGGGACTCACCGCTTTCATGATGCAAAAGAGAGACGCAAAAGAGCCGGCCAACAAGAGCCGCCCCGCCAAAAAAAAAAGAGAGAGAGAGAGAGAGAAAGAACCACCCTCTCCCGCCCGCAGGATGACAAGACAAGAGGCGATGCAGCGATGCTCTTTCTTTTTTCTCTTTGCTGGACAAACCGAGGGGGATGAAGAGCGTGGCTCGGACCGCTGGCAATCTTCGGATTTTGCAGAGAGAGAGAGAAAGAGAGAGAAAGAGAGAGCGAGAGCAGAAAATTAAAAAGCGTGGAGGTGGGATGGAAATAAAAATATTTAAAAAAAAAATCCAGCCGCCCCCTACCTACCCGATCAATTTGTCTGTCTGCTCAGTTTCCCTTCCCTAGCTCTCACTTAGCTCCCAAACCGCCTCTGCCTCTGCCCGCTTGGCTCTGCCGGGCTCGATCTATATATAGAGAGAGCACGGGGTACAGGTTGGGCGGGGCGCGCACGCTGCCCGAGTCCAAAGGGAGGGAGAGAGAGAAGGAGAAACAAGTGAGCGGGTGAGACGCGCGCAGGGCAAGAAGGGAGGGAGAATGTTGGACATTAAAAAAAAAAAAAACGCGGCATGAGAGAGAAAAAAAAAAACACGGCGTTGCGCTTTAGCCAATCGGAAGCGGCGAAGTTTTCTCCCTGGAACGTCGCGTTAGCCAATGGCGACGGTCTCTCCGTTCTGTCAAACGCTTCTCATGTACTAGGTTCTCGTTGAAAAAGGGGGAGGCCTGTCGAACCCGAGGGAGGAGAGCGGGACGGAGGGAGGGGGGGGAGAGAAGAAGTTCCTTGCGAGGGAAGTGCGGGAATGCGAATGGAATTCAAGCCGGGCTGGCTTGCCTGGCTTTTGGGGATCCCCGGCGGCTCGGGGAGCCCTTGAAAATACCTCCTGACACCCGGCGCTCAATCCGAAGAGAAAGCAATGGCCGAGGCGATCACCTCTCTCTCTCTCTCTCTCTCTCCCCCTCTTTTTCCCCTCCCTCTCTTTTTGTTCTCCACATTTATTCTTCAGACCGCCTAATTATCGCTTCCACCCGGGTCCCCAAGGAGACATGCATTTTCAGGCTTCATTCCACGGGTCTTTTTAAAATATTTTTCAAACACCCCCCCCCCCCCACCTCCGCGGCTATATTATTGACACACAGAATATTTTCCTTCGAAACAATCGCTTCTAAACTCCGGAAAGTTGGTGAGAATTTGCGGGGGGAGGAGGCAGGAGGGAGTTTTTTTTTTAATTTTGTTGTTGTTGTGCTTTAGAGAATTGATGGCCTTGGTACATTGAATTAAAGCGCATCAACGATTAAAAATTCATGACCATGCGGGGTGTTTAAAATTCCTCAGTGCCATATAATATTAATCCATTTGATGTAAAATTTATACCTGTAACTTAATTTGCCTCATTAGTTTCCCGATCACATATTGGCTCCATGTGCCATTATTAAACGTGATGCTGGGAATGCCTGACTTTTCTCGGCTTTGAATCGGTATGGTTAAAATGATTAAGGAAATATTGTAGTGTGGACCGCTATCTCTTAATGTAATAATGCCTTTTGGTGCAACTTGCTTTGAAGCCGCATCTTGTGAGATTCTAGATGCAAACCACTGAATTGTTGACTAATGAGCAAAAACTTCACTGTAATAAATAAAATGCTGCCCTGTTTTTAGCCATCTGAGAATTTTATACCCATGGAATCATGGAATTCTGCAAGATTACTGAAATACATAAATAAAATGCCTTAGAGCTTCTTGTATAGTCTACTGATGTTGAACTCAGAAAAGCCACTCATCCAAATGGGCTCCAGTTTAAAAAGCCCACGTGGTCTGATTTATCAGATGCTATGCAAAGAATTTAGTTTGTTTTAATGGAAGTCATATATGCCCTTTTCACTCTATTTCTTGATTCTGCAATGCTCAGAACTCTCGAATTCTGAAATAGGATGCTACATGGGTAAGCCACATACAAGAACCCAGTATCAAAAATGTACAATTAGCTTGTCTTGAAAAGGACATGTTGGAATCCACATTTGATAAAGAGATGTAGTAAAATCAGCATGCAAAACTATGATAGAAGAGACAAAGAAATCAGCTAAAGCAAAATACTTTTAGAATTTTAGTCACCGGATTCCAACTTATATAGGAACTGGTTATTCTTATCCAAAATGACTGGTGATTAATGAAGTATACTTCAGTAGAACATGTCTAAAGACAGCAGCATTAGTATTCAAAGAGCAAATGAATTTATCAGTGAACTTAGATATAGAATTGGATGTGATTCAGTACTTCTTGTGTTTTAAAATGACTTCTTTGGAATAGTAGCTTTTAATACATTCTTTGCAGCTATAACTTTCCCACTGAATCGTGATTGTATGAAGGATATTCCATGCTAAATAAATATGATTGTTGGATTGAATAGATGGACCACTTCTCACTATTCCCATCCTAGTTAGAATATGTATGAAACTAGATCTATTGCTGAGCTTAATTGTTTTGATTATATGGAATAGGTTCTTAGAGCTAATCTGTTTCCATCTCAGGATATTGATCAGAAATCCTTGTATGGATCCTTCTTCCTTGATGCCAATCTTGACTGAACAGATATGCCCATATTTTGAGGCATCTTAATGTTCAGCCGTTCTTGAAATTGTGCAACAAACATGCAAGAACAAAATCTTTGAGCATTCATGAACTCTAATGTTTCTAAATTGTTTGGCCTAGGAAATTTATTTTCCTCATATTCAATCTATAGTAAGTAGAAAAAATTGTATTCGTATACTTAATTTGAAATGCTTTGAGTGTATATACAGTATTTGTTGATTAACCACACTACTTTCATATTGAATTAAAAATAAAGTACCCAACTTCCAATACTCAATTTATATTGTAAGTCAAACATACTTTCATTAGCAGGATATACACAGGATATATTTGCTAGAGAAATTCTGGTATAGAAATCTATACTATTACTTCTTGAAGATGTGTCAAACTTGTGACAAGTTGCTATTTACCTGTTGCATCTCCTTTTTGTTCATTCTTCTTAATTTAAGTGTAAGGCATTGTTCAAAACATAGGTACTACAAAGACAATATTGTAGATGCAGTGAGCAAGCGAGCAAGCAAAGATGTAAAAAAATTTTTTTTAATTCATTCTTTGTTCATTCTCTTTTCAATTTTGTGTAAATCCCCAGTGGGTTTTAGGTGTGTTGGGCTTTAAAATGAAGCAAGCATTTCAAGATGCCAAATTGTGTTCTAGTTTTCAGAGTTTATGTTTGCATTAACAGTCTGGTTCACATATATTAATTATGTTAGGTTTTGGCTTAATGTGCAGAGCCAGGCAATTAGGATTTAATCATCAAACCATGATTAAATGAACAATAGCACACTATAGTATGTAAAAAAAGGTATGTGAACATGGTATACCTACAATTAAAATACTTACAGATACTTCTCCTTTAGCAACTGCCTCATTTAAGAACTGTTTGCAGTTACAATGGTGATGAAAAATAATTTTGTGTCCAATGCCTCCATTTATGACCTTCACAGTAACGGTAAAACAAAGGAAAGCTGAATCATAAGCACAGCTGCGGTTTCACTTACTGACTGCTTCACTTAAAACAATTGAGCTGCAGGTCCCAATTGTGGCCACTAAACGAGGACCACCTACCGTACCTATAATTTCTGCTATTTCCAATCTCCATAATGGAGCATGTAGGTTTATGCAGTATCTGGGCCTAAAGAGGAGGGTGTTTTTTCCCCAGTGTATGCATGTGTGGGGCGTCCTTCTCCATTGACTAAGCATGCTTAGCATACATAAAGATTGACTAGGTGAGGTGGGAAGCACACTTCAATAGAATCTCATGAAGGAAGCACTGAAGAGGAGAAAACATTTCATACTGTACAGTTATCCAGTGACAAGCAGGTATGCAGGATGTCAGTATTATTCACATTCTGTTTTATCTGTGATCCCATTCTCTTGCTTTCAGAGCCATCTATGTACAATAGTATTGTGAAAGTCACCCTTCTTTTTTTTAAACTGATAGATGTTTCAGCCTTGTCTTTTAAATCATTTTTATTCAAAGGGACAATGGTTCAGTGTTAAATAGATATATAGGTTATTATAGGCAAAAAAATAAAGGCCTATCTAGCAAAGTTGCTAAGGGATAAAAATTTCAGGGATTTTACATCTCTATATACCTAAAGTAATTTCTGGGCCAGGGTGCATCTATTTTTCAGGTACAACTTACCTTTTCCATGTGTCTTGCTAGGCTAAACTGCTCTGTTGTATTTCTTGGAGGAAGGATAAGATAAATACAGCCCGTGTTTATGTTTAGCACTGTGTAAATAAATATCAAGCAATCTGTGCAGACGATAACTAACACGTTTACCATCTGCATTAGCACCAAGCATTCTGCCTAGGAGAGCCTATAAGGAGAATCCATAATTTTTTAAATTTTCTGAGAACGTTGAAGAGACGTGACTAATTTAAAAAAAATACACACTGTAAGTATCAATAGACGGGGGTATCCGCAGCTTAGGATTGAATTGGGAATCCTTGGTGCTCTCTGGGCCTGAATGTTTGCTTGCAGATGTTTCATCACCCAAATAGATAACAACATCAGTGTCATTGAGAATGGATTTTGATCCTTGTTTATATATAGTAGTTGCCCTGCCAGTTTTGGGTGTGGTTTTCAGCCTGGTAGCTTATTGATTAGGGCAGGAGCCTCCAAACTTAGGCATTTTAAGACTTGTGGACTTCAACTCCCAGGATTCCCCAGCCAGCAACACTGGCTGGGGAATTCTGGGAGTTGAAGTCCACAAGTCTTAAAGTGGCCACGTTTGAAGACTGCTGGATTAGGGTGTTGTTTTCGGCTTGATTCTTTTTCTGGTGTCAATCCTGCTTATCTGGCTGCTGGAAAAGACACGTTTGGTCTTTTTGTTTCCTTCTTAGCTTTTCTATTATCTTTTTGAAAGGCATGTGAGTATGCTTTATCTCTATTTGTCCACTGATGGCTGATTTGTCTGAATGTCAAGCTTCCAGAATTCCCTAATGGTTTTTTGTTTTTTGTTTAATTTGGCTTGGTCTAACAATTTCTCACACTGTACGGTTCCCACACTCCCATGTGTTCAACTCTTTCCATGTGTTGTGGGATTGGCTAAAGCAGTTTTTGGGGTGTCTTTTGACTGCTAGTTGGTCTTCATGGATGCCCTCTGCCAGTCTTCAGCCTGTCTGTCCTACACAGTGGCTGTGTAAGTCCTATGTAAGTCCTCGACGTACGATCACAATTGAACCCAACATTTCTGTTGTTAAGTGAGACCTTTGTGAAGTGAGTTTTGCCCCATTTTACGACCTTCTTTGCCACAGTTGTTAAGTGAATCACTGCAGTTGATAAGTAAGTAACATGGTTGTTAAGTGAATCTGGCTTTTCCATTGATTTTGCTCGTCAGAAGATTGCAAAAGGGGATTGGATGACCTTGGGACACAGCAAAGGTCATAAG